TTTCTGTGCCATGAGGATGCACTGCTGGCTTATGGTCTGCTTATTGTCCAGAAGGTTCTTCTCCACAAAATTTTTTCCCAGAGAGTTTGTTTCCAGCGTATACTGATATCTGGGGTTATCCCTCCCTAGATGCAGGATTTTGCATTTCCCCTTGTTGATCTTCATGTGAGTTCCCTTACACCAGTTCTCTGCTACATTCTGCCTTATTGTCCATGCTGTTAATGAGGATGTTGAACAGTACTGGCTCTAGTAGTAGCCCTGGGGTAGTAGTCACTACTGATGCATCTCCAACTGGACTTTGTGCCACTGATGATAAATCTCTAGACCTAGTTGTTGAACTGGTTTTCAATCCACTTCACCATCCACCCATCTAACCTGTACTTTGTCAGTTTGTCTATTAAGTTGACAAGATGAAATTATGGGCGATAATGTCAAAGGCTTTGCTAAACCTGAGGTCAACAACATCCAGTGCTCAGCTCTCGTCCACCAAGCTAGTCAAATCATAATAGAAAGTGAGGCATTTGGTCAAGCATAATTTCTCTTTCATAAATCCATGCAGACTATCCCAATCACTTTCTTGTCCTTCATGTGTGTGGAAATGGTTTCCAGGAGTATTTCATCTCTCACATTCCCAGGGACTGAGGTGAAGGCTATTGGCCTTTAGTTCCCTGGACCTTTCTTTGTGAAGACATAAGTGATATTTGCTCTCTTCCAGTCTTCAGGAACCTCTGCCAGTCACCATGACCACTCAAAATAATCAAGAGAGGCCTTGCAATGACATCAGACAGGTCCCTCTGCACTTGTGGATGCACTGTGTGAGGCCCCATGGACTTACAGAGCTGTGTCCTCCATTTGAATCTGCCTGGGTACAAAAGTCTGAAAGCAAAGAGCTGTCAGCACTACTTCAGTAGCACTTGGTCCTGTGCCTTGTGACCTTCTGCATGACCTGCTGCACAACCTGCTGTACATCTACTGGTTACTTCTGCTATTGCTGCACAAACTGCTATTACATAGTCCTTGTCCCGGCCTGGGATAAAAGGGTGCTTGACTGTCCCTACTCAGGGGTTAGCTGGAAAAAAGGCTGCAGGCACCCGCTGGTCAGGGACAGCTGATGGAGTTTGTCAGAAGCTGCTAGAGTTACCCTTACCTGGAAACAACAGGTATCCTCAGTATCCTCATAAGTTTCCCAAATCTCAGAAAAAGCGCCCAGAATCTCAAGTTATCAAGACAACCTTAAAAAAGCCAAAACTCTGGTACAAACTGCTGTGTATTTTAGCTGCATGCTGGGCCTGGGTCTTCTACAGGCTAACTGAGAATGAAAAATGTCCCTTTCTAGATTTCACAGTATAGCTGCCTAACAAATAGTATTTATAAAAATAATATTTTTATAAATACTAAAAAATAGTATTTATAAAAATGTATAAAGTTCAGGGAAACATTCGTGCTACAAAGATATCCAACTGAAATTAAGCATTAATTTTCAAAACATTTTGAATTTTATTTTGGAAATATAAATTTCATTGCATTTAACTTCACTGCGTTTAACACAGTAAAGGCAGAATCTGGAAAACTCCATTCATTCTGTAAATTATAGGTAGTAGAAATTTTTAAGAAAGCAGAACATGACAAAATTATTTGAAGACTTCAGAAAATTCTTTACATGGGGAGCTGATGGACCTTAATTGAATTTTTTTCAGAAATTAATGGAATGGTGATTTGATTATAGAGAAAAAAACTCTAAATACCTCTTTAATATAAAACAGACGTAAATAAAAGAGTTGTTGAAGGCCATTGGAGGATTAGCTACATGCCAAAGTGTAAAATAAAATATATATTTTGAAATATGTGATTGACAAGAAACACTGGAAGAAGGAAATCAGGGAGATTTGTGAAGTCTCTTGTCTTTCAACAGGAAACTGTACTTCTGTGAAAGATATACATAACTAAAAAGTGCAGGCATACTGAGAAAAATAATGAAGTTCTGCATAACATAGAGACAGGAAGATGGCATAGTTGTCCACTGTGGTTTAAATTCCATGCAATGTTAGCTTAGCACCCAATCTTTCTATTATTTGTAGGTCAGTAATATCGACTAGGGACTTTTCTGAGTAATGTCAAGTTACCTTCTGTAACTCCTGATGCCATTCTGAGCACTTGTGTAATAGTATCAAGTTGCTGCAGCAGTAACATGCCTGAAGCCAACATGCTGGATGCTAAAAAATTACAGATGAACGTAGTGCCTGCCCACAGAATGGTCTAATGTTTCTTATAAAGGAATGAGGAAAAGGGAATGAGTAGCTGTTTCTGCTGGCTCACTTCTTTCAGTGACCAAAACTAAAACCTAAAGCTCTTACTGAGCAAGGTCTCACGTCTAAGATAAAACACTTCACTAAAGATAAAAAAACTAAAAAACTGTACAAAGTCACTAATGGTAGAGCGAGAGGAAATGCCGGCCTTTTGTAAGAATAACAAATGTTTGAGGACTACTTGAGCCCACAGGAAAACACAACATTGGCTAACAGATGTGAATAAAAGTGGGTACTTTGGCCTTTCTATCTCATTTTGTATTGTCACTTACCTAAGTGACTAGCTCTAACATGAGTCTTCTGCATGTTTCTTCAATATCACCATCAACAGTTAATTCTCCTCAGTTCCTTTTATCTTGCTTCAATGTGTATTGAGAGGTCTGTAAGTTACACACTTAATGATTCTCCTCTCAGCTCCTTAGATTTTTTAATCCAAGGCCAATTTTTAAAGGAGTTGAGCACTTAGAAGTGCTGCTGATGTAAGTGGAAATTAAAATTTTGAATATACCAAGTACAGTATACATGGAAAGTTTTAAAAAAAATTTCATGTTCTCAAAGTGTGGCATCCAAATTGAATAGATACATTTAGATGTTTTTGAAGTGACTTTAGTTGTCACTAATATGTTACAGTTCAACTCTGCAAAATGGACACAAAATCACTTTTAGGTCTGAACAATATGTTGAAGAAAAAATTACTAGCTAGTTACACACTCAATAATATGCTTTAATCTTCAGAAGACAGCCCATGACAAAAGCAGTAACTTCACATAATGTGAAAGATTTGGAGGATCTGCTGGAAGTAGAACAGAGGAACATGACATCTATAATTGAATAAAAAGGAACATTTAATAGCCATTAGATGTGCACTGTCCTGGTTGTCATTAAACAGAGCAGAGATCTTGTTACAAATGGTATGTTATTGTGTAATTAAATGTATTGCAAATGTGAAAGCACATGGGAGTTGAATTAAGACTGCAAACAATGTTGTTAGTGCTTAGGCAGGAGTGGCCACCACGAAGGGGATTGTTGTGAGCATCTTACTGGTAGAAAGATAAAGACAGATGCCAAGGCTCTACAGTTTGCTGTTCCCATTGTTTGGCTCAAGGCAGCTGTGTGCATGGTAAGATTACAAAACAATCAGTGCTCCTGTTTTCATAGATGTTGGAGTGAGACAGCAGTTCTATTTTATATGTGAGTAGGAAAATGTCCATGAGGAATCAACACCTTAATTCCCACTGTAAAATGGAATAAAACAAAAAAAGTATTTTCAAATTCATTTATCCACCATTAAATATGATACAGTGTGTTAACTCTGAATTTTTGCATTAAAAAAGTAAGAAATTACAGGAGCAAAGTTTCTAAAAACACAGCCATATTTACAACTGTTCCTAAAGAAGAACTAATAAACTGTGTCTTTCTGCAGATTCAGTACTCCACAGAAAACTTTAAATATGCTAAAACTGGATATCTATAGCTTTTCACAGTATCCTGGATATTTAACAGCACAACAGTAAGAGTCATGGTAATTTTAAAATTCTTAATAAGCATGTTCATACGTTAGTAAATATGTTTTAACAACATATTCATCGCATAACTTTGAAATCTTTACTACATTGACTTTTTCTGAATGGGTTCTTAATCCTTATGTGTGAAACTTAAATAAACTCAACTGTCATATCTTTGTGTTCAACTTAAATGAAATTTAGTACTATTTTTACAGCTTAAAAACCAACATAAAACATAGCTTTGGGGTTCATTTTGTTCAAGAACTAGTTCCCTGTCAGTATAATTACTATTACTGTAATCATTAAACTAGCCTTTAATAATTAAGATCAACGATGAGAAATACTAAATCTTTTCACTTCAGATATTTTAACTCAGATATTAAAAGCAAGATGCCTAAATCAAACAAGAAGCGTTGAGACCCAACTTCAAAACCATAAACTGGGCACAACTTAATTTACAAAAATATTGAAATGTTTGAGTCTTAATAACTTTCCAGACTTTTAGGAACACACTAGATTATAAACTTATAAAACTGAATTATTTCTTGTGATAACACAATCATAAATATTTGTTATCTTTTCTACTGAACTACCAAATTCAATAAGTCAGGGGAAACAAAAACAGAACATGGAGAAACCAGTCAGTCAGTTACTTCATTATATTAAAATTCTGAAAAACCAAAGGTTTATTTCATGTATTTTTCATAATCTAACCACCCTTCCCCATCACCCTTTACTGTATCTCCTTTTTTGTATATGTGTTTTAGGCTCTGACACTTGTGTAATGGCATCTACAAGGCCTGGGTCAACAGTACTGGTTTCTGTTAATATTTTAGATAATGACCCTAAATTCATATTTTCATATATCTTAGATGTTGTAAGGTATGGTTCACCCCTGCAATAAAATGAAAACTGAAAAGTTTTAATATTATTTCACTTAAAATTACAGCAGAAACACATTGCACAAAATACAATATCTACATCTGTGCTGCCAGTCATTAAAACACTTTAGATGGTTGAAATTGTTAAATCTCCCTCAACTGGAGAGAACTCAAGTGTCAAAGCTCAGTTTGTTTTCAGCATGCTTCATACTCAGCTGCTACCTTACCATTTTTTATTAGTGCTTAGACAGAAGTTGCACATCAAGGTCAGTCAGCACACTCACCAGTTGTTCACCGAGTTTACTCACCCTTTGACCTTCTTTGCCAGGTGGACCTTGGGGACCCTCCAGCAAACCCTGAAAATACGAACATTAGACAAATAAAACATTCAGTGTTATTTTCATCTTCTATTATTCTACAGAAGTAAGACTAGTCCAAAGAGCCAGATGTCAAGACAAGGCCTTTATTTCTAATAATAAAAATTGGTTATTCATAACAATTCTTTCAATGTTATATTAAGGTTCAAGAAAAAATGCAAACAACAATTGTGACTCACATTCCACCGTATAAAGGCTTTGGAAAAGAAAAGGTAAGTCAGCACTAATTAAGCATAGTTATATTTGACTACAATATTATATGAAAAGTGAATATTCTATTAAGTTAGGATACCACATGAAAAAAGGAGAAAAAAAATATATTAAATGAAAGACAACTTACTCTACAACTCAAATTCAAATATAGGCACTGAAGGGGGAAGGGAAGGCAGGGAAAGGGAACTAAATATAGCAGAAGACCTTATGTTTGCTGCATTGTGAGAACTGGCCTGTGCTGTTTCCTCTGTGTGTCTGGCTCAGCTTTTCAAAACACTTCTGTGCCACTTTTTTCTCACTCTCTCCTCTGACCAGGCACAGGAACTCTGGGTGTTTTGAATATACCCTTGACCTGTGAGCTTTCTCTCTGAACTTAGTGCAAGAATCTGCCTTTTTCAATCACAGATGGAATCACAGACCAGTTCTGACACTTTAGGGCTTTAATTTTATATCTGATTAATGTACAATGTAATCATAAAGCCTTCAAATAACAACTCAGAACAACTCAAAGCAGTCATTCTCCCTTCCGCTCCCCCTTTTTTTTTTATGAGTCACCATGGAACATGTTACTTTGAGGAAGCAATTCAATTTCCATTATAGTAACAAGAAACATGAAATCAGTTTCAGTGCAACAAGCAAAGAGTATGGAACAATTCTACTTTGTATAATGAAAAAAAAAGTCTTGTATGTTATATAGCATACTGTCACAGAGTGTAATAAAATTAAAGAACTTACCTTTAGTTTATAAAAGAGTTCAAAATATTAAAATATTAAATTCTTAGCCATTTAAATGACTCAGACCGGGGCATTGCTTCAGCTTGAATTATTTTTTGGTCAGATTCAAACTCCTAATTTAGAATCAACTACACATATTTATTGCCCCAATAAGGGTGAACTTAGGCCCCCTGAGAATCATGATTTTAAAAGGAACTCAGATTTCCAAAAATTATTTTAAAAAGTTCATTATGATCTCTAATTCCCAAGATAAACTTGAGAGAGTAAGCAGACATTTCAAAGCTACTAGCTCATAGATCTTCAAGTAATGTTTTAAGTTGATTAGAATGAAGTCCAACTTCAATTTCAAATAAAAGTAGTCACTTCAAGAGCTTTTCCATTCCTATCTTTTCTCCACTTTCAAACACTGAAGCTAAAAATGTACCTCAGAGAGTATTTCACTACAGGATATTTCTTCTTTTATTTCATTTTATAGTGTAAACAGGAAAAGGTTTAGGATCTTTTACAAAGTTGATGCACACCATTTTCATCTTTCACCATAAGTTTATGGAACTAGAATATACATGACAATGTTGTGTCCAACAAATAAATCATGGTAAGTTCATTACAGCGCAAAATATGTAGCTTACACATGCACAAAACCATAAAGCAGTATGTCAATGTGACCTCTGTAAACCTTCTTTAGTTTTTCCTCAGGTTAACGTAGAACTTGCAGAGAATTCTGTCTGTCCAACTGTTAGCAATATTCTAATTCTGTAAAGAAATTATGGGAATTCAGGAAGAGGTGGAATTTTGTTTTGTTAATCTTTCATTTCTAGTGACAACTTACGCAGGGGAATGAGACGAAAACCTGCAATGTCTGTTTTATGGCGGAGGAAATACTTAGCCTCACATATCTGCACAATAAGGCTCCAAGGGGACAAGAATTACACAAGAATGTAACTGCACAATAATGATAATTAATAGCCAACATTTTTGTCCAAGAACTACTTTTATTCTTTTTCTTCTCTCTACAATATTATTGTCTAGAAAAAGGAACCAGATAAGGAGATTTATCTTCAAGGAAAGGGAGGAGAGCAGCGTACAATTGGTAACTAGGCAGGGAGGACTCCCCTGTACAAGGAGCCATATCCTGATATTGAAACAGAGGTAAAAGTTCACATCAACTTCAGTGGGATCTTCGGTTTAAAAAGTGATAGAACAACATGGGGCATGTTAACTAACACAGCTGTGAAACTGTAGTAACTTGGCCAAAGTAATGACCTAGCACTGCTATCCCTGCTCAACATTCACTGAAAGGTATCCTGGAAAAATAACTGCAGAAGAAACCTGCAGGAGAAATATAAAAAGAACCCTTTTCTACAGAGAATTCTGTCTGAAGGGATGAATAAAACTTGAACTATAAAACTTATCAATGAATAGAAATATGTATTTGTAGGAAGGTAAATCAAAGTATTTCTTAGGTCTTATTCCTATTTAACTTCTGGAGATCTTTGTTTGGAGATCAAGGATCAGCTGTAAATTGTGTTGAAAACATTTTTGTCAGAAGGGAATCTATTGTACATGTACCATCTCCCCAGTTAAACAACATCCAAAGCAATTAAAATCATAAAATCATAAAATGGTTTTGGTTGGAAGGGACCTTTTAAAGGTCGTCTAGTCTAACCCTCCTGCAATGAGCATGGACATCTTAAACTAGATCAGGTTGCTCAGAGCCCCTCCAACCTGGACTTGAATGTGCCCAGGGATGGGGCATCTACCGCCTCTCTGAGCAACCTGTTCCAATCTTTTACCAGCTGCATTGTAAAAAGCTTCATTATTATAACTAATCTAAATTGACCCTCCCTCAGTTTAATACCATTATGCCTTGAGCTATTGTAACAGGCTCAACTAAGAAGTCTGTCTCCATCTTTTCTATAGGCCCCCTTCAGGTAATGAAAGGTAATTGAAATAATTGACTGTGTGTCACTCTGATACTCTTGAACTGGCCAGAGGATGGGTATGCTGATGAGCAAAAGAATGTCTAGGAATAGCACAAGGCAAAGTGAGATATAAAAACAGCCTATTCCTGTGACATCAGACTGGCAGGAAAATATGATGCATCCTTAGAGGTGGCCTAATATGTATAGGATTTTTCTGACGCTGCAAGGCCACCTTTGAGGTTGGAAGGTGGTAGCCTTCTACCTACTCCACAGAGAAGTGAACTAAAATAACAAACACAGTCTATAAAGCCTGTTCCTGTCATGGACCAGGCAAGCCCCTTGGAGTTAGGTACCTGAAAGAGCTTGAGGAACACGAAGTGTAAATGTCTTGAACGTTACCATGTAGCTTGGGAAAAAAAAAATCAGTAAACAGGGGATGTGGTTAAGGGCATCTGAAACTTAGAAATTCTGTCACAGTGAATAAGGATGGCTATGAAAAGAGATGAAGCATGATGCACAGGTAGGCACAAGAGGGTTGTACAAAATCTTGAATAAGGAGAGTAGAAACTTGTGAATTCCTTTACAAGAGGTAAATCGTAAAGGGAAGCGCTGACAAGAGAAAAGGTGCTGATTAGAATATAAAATAGAAAAAGCAAACACACTATGAAGTGTGTGCTGACAGATATTTAAACGAAATATCATCAAAGCTTAGTCTAAGCTTTACTTAAGGGAATCCAGGAAAAACAACAGATTTAAAAAATGCTCCAGTAGAATAAGTGAGCTTTTAAAATAACTTGCTTGTCAGTGGAAGTACCAGTAGAAATTAACATTTTAATACTTAACAGCTAATATTTTTTGCAAGTATCAAGAGATAAAAGATAACAAGAATTATTTAACTTGAAATAGTAAAAGAAAAATGTGTTAGGAAGTGGCAATAGAAGTAGCTACCAGTTCAGCCTGTTAAGCTGTTTTAAGTTTCAAAAGCTATTAACTTAAAATGTATGGGCCAGCATGTAGCTATCAGAAGCTGCTTACTATAGAAGGGCTAAAATCCTGTCTTGTGACTCTGCAGATACAAAAATGTTGGTAAATACATGATACATCACGACAAGCATCTGCAGAGATGTGGTGGAGACCTGGTTCATAAATTTAATTACTCAGAGTAACTGCCTAAACACATACTCTCAAAAAGCAAAGTTTTTATTGTGACCTCTCAGTAAATAAAACAAAGTTAAAAAAAAAAAAATCCCCGCTGAAGTAGAAGAGTGAGGTTACTTAAAGTTGTTATTCATATTACTTATTACAGAAGCTTATGGTGGATACCAAGACAGTAAAATATTACACAAGAATGTATATTTTTGGTATTCTGAAAGTTGCTTCAAAACACAGCTGATAGTTTTTGAAGTAGAAGCCTTATGTACTTGTAGGTAGTGTTGCTGAAATACATTCCAAGCTGAAATTCGTTTCCTTCTCAAAACAAATTAAATATAATGCAAATGCTAAAAATAACAAGGCAGGTCTAATTAAAGCACAAAAATTATTTCCTTGTAGACCGTTATAGATTGGTTTGTGTGTACTATACACAAATTACTCTCATCCAGTTTTCCCTCACTGAATTCCAGCAAACATAAGACTTCAATTTTTACAAAATAAATGCTACTAGACAGGGAGAAAGTGTATGTAGTTTAGTGAGATAAGTCAAGCAAAGACAGAGATAGCCTAAATTAGGTTTGCAGAAACACCTTGTGCTAATGCAAGAATAGGTCATTTTTTAACCATTAGAATACGCAAGCTTTTACAGTGCTAAAACTTGCCACTTCAAAAACACCTAGCTATAATAGACATGATTTGGCTAAGGAATCTGAGAACATTTTGTTGATAAACAGAAAGGTATAGCTCTGCTGAAACAACGTCAACATTAAAACACTTTTAAAAGCAAACTGGTGGGCAATTCCCACTGCAGGGGTTTGACCTAGTTTTTTAAAGCACAATCCTTGTCAGGATAAGGAAAAGCCATCATACTGTTGAATTATATATACAATGATCCCTCTGTAAGCTCCTCAAGCAGAGCAGTACAAAATTACACAATTCAACAGGTGATCACAGATT